TTAAACTTACGATCTTCACATCGTTGTCCTGTATATGGTTGAATACACATACATGTGAAGCCTACCATTCCATTCGGATGGCATTGACCACCATTCAAACATGGATTTGTTGCGCAAGGATCACCTAATACGATCAATATAGACATACCATCAATGTATGCGAAGATTGCAAAAAAAAACAATTCATCATTTTCATTATTGCATTCGTATACTTACGTATTTCACAACGTTGTCCAGAAAATCCATTTTGACATGAACAAACATAAGAAGTCCCACTTGGCATACAAATACCATTGTTTAAGCATGGATTCTGTGCACATGGATTTGAACCTGTAAGACATTTTAAAAAAATTTTATCATTGTTCTTTGCAAAAAAGAAAAAAGAGTTTGATATTTAACTCACGAATTTCACAGCAAATGCCTTGAAATCCAGTAGGACACAAGCATGTGAAACTTCCTGCATTATTAACTTGGCATGTTCCACTATTACGGCAGGGGTTAGGTAAACACGGATTAGGAGAAACAGTAGTAATAGCACTGCCTACACATGTATACATGCATATTCACACAATCATTTATGCTTGATGCTGATAAGTACAATATTTACAAACTTACCGATATCACATGTACGGCCTGTATATCCTGGTGGACAATAACAACGAAAAGCTCCTGTCGGTTCATCAAAAACACATGAGCCCCCGTTTTGGCATGGGTTTGGTACACAAGCATCACCTAAGAGAAAAAAATACGATGAAATAATGAATAATATATGTTAAATAATGAATCCATAAGCAGATACTATATGGTATGCATGATGTTTTTTTTTTGTTTGTGTTTGATAAAACACTTACATATCTGACAAGTAAGTCCATGAAATCCAGGACGGCATTGACATGTAAAACTGAGCATGCCTTGCAATTGACATGTACCGCCGTTCATGCAAGGATTTGGGATGCAGATATCTCCTGAATAAGTAGGTAATAAAATAAAACTTCATCAAAAACACATGCAAATAAATAAAATGAACAAGATGCTTTACAAATGTACAAATCACACATATTTCTTCTTACGACGTGGACAGTATGGTGGATTACACACACAAACAGCCCTTCTTTGACTATTAACAACACATCGTTGACTACTAGGACATGGATACTGAGCACAAGGATTTGCTGAGATTGAAGAAAATTATTTTAATTAAATTAGAACAATGAAGATAAAGAAAAGATTATTTACTAACATCGTTCACATAGAGGACCAATATAAGCTTTTTGACACATACAGAAGAAACTGGATGGTGTTAACGAATGACATGATTGTCCATGTTGACAAGGGTTTGGATTACAAGCAACGTATGGTTGTGGTGGAGCTCGATCTAAATGTTATTTTTTCTTTCATATTTACTCATATCTAATTAGTTTTTCGGATTTGTCATACATGTATTACAGTTACTTCTAGTGTTAGAATAGTGACTAGGTGGTAAACATGTACAACTCGATGGTGCCAAGCCGAGACCTGACTGACGATATGTACATGTTCGTTGTTCACATGGACTCGGACATCGTGATGATGATGGTGATAATGAATAACTTTGTCGACGAAATCCTTAGATAAATATTTTAAGATAAAGGTATGACTGAGAAATTTCAAAGAAAAGGAAAAGGGAAAGGGATATTTATTTTCATGCAGCTTACGTTCAACTGATGTTGAAGTATTTGTTCCTATGGATCGAAAAATATAAGTTTATTATTGATCAACTAAACTTTTCTCTACATTTTGTTCATGAACAAACAAAAAAAATCTTTTTTTTTGAACTTCTGTTTAATATTACAATAGCTATCTTCAATAATAAACTTACTTGTTTCACAATTGACTCCAGTATAACCAAATGGACATTCACAAATGTATGTTCCAAGACCCATCATACATCGACCACCATTCTTACATGTACAGCCAACAGTAAAAGCTACCAAACAAAAACAAAAAAACAAACCATTTTTTTTTCAATTGAATTATCATAAATTCAAGAAACAAAAAAAAATCTTTTTCACCATAAGTACAATCTTCTTGCCACGGTGGACAAATACAACTGAATCCATCTTTTGTATCAAGACATATAGTACCCGATGGGCAAGGATTATTTGAACAATCATCAAAACCTAATTTATAAACAATTATTAAGTTTCATATGTATACATATATTTTTTTTATCGATATTCGGTTTCGTTATTTATAATCAAATTACTTTTACATACCACGAATAGAATTAAAATCACCGGTATTACATAAATCAGTTGAGCACATACACCAATAAAGACCATTGTATGTTAGACAACCATCGACGAGCAAATCACGTACCCATCGTTCGTCAGTACAACGACGATCGGTAACTTTAAAAAGATAATAAATATTCAGATTATTTCTTAATTTAGTTTCTTTTCTTTCTCGTTTTTGAATTCTACTTCTAAAAACAAAAGCGAAAAGCCAATCACTCTTATAAGCTTACGCGTTGCATTGGCATGGGCAGCCTTTAAATAACATCGCTGATTATAGTGACAAGGTACGATGCATTGACTAGCAATGCCCGTATGTGGAAAACTTGTACATGCAAAACACCGTTTGTCCTCTTCTACGATAGCAATAGCCGATCGACCCGACAATGTTGACGAAGCGTCTAGAAAAAAGCATTAATCTATATCCATTTATTCGAACCTTTATTGAATGGTGTTCGTCCACGTATAAAACAACGCTGAGGACTCGAACAAGGTACTGTACAGTCAGATGACGGTACAAGACATCCATAGCACCGGCTTGCTAGACTTGGTGCAATGATAGGTTTAAAAAATCGTACTATAATAATAATTCATGTAAATACTCTTATCGATTTTTTTTAAGCTAGAAAAAAAACTATTTTTTGCCCCAAAAAATATTGATTGACAAACCTGGTATATGACGTGGTTCAATAGTATAATTTGTTGGATTAGCATTATTAAACGATATAATACTAGTTATTATTAATAATGATAACCATCCAATAATCTATATACAAGTATAAATAAATCAAATATTCGATGTATATTAATTTTTACTTACCATTGCGCTAATAATTTTTAAAAAAATATATTTATATTATGTCCTCGAAAAGAGAATATTTAACTAATTTGACGTTTATTCTCTTTATTTTATATTCTTCTATTTAGCTTTATGTCTTTGTTACAGATTGCTATTTACTCGTTTGTCTTTCACTTTTTTGTTTGTTACAAAGTTGAAGGTACATCTTCTTCCGTATTCATTCGTTCGCTCTTCTCTTCTACTATTTCTCTTTTTTTTCTTTCGTTTTGTACGTATGAATATACAATATGATGGTGATAATACTATCCTTGAACAATACACAATAGTCCAAGAGAAGAGAAAAACGAAGAAGCATTATCATGACGTCTGTTCGTCTTTTTTTTTGTTGTAATTTCAATTTTATAAAGGACAATTTGAGGGATGTTGGATTAAAGAAAGAGTATAGTTATTTTACTCCAGGTTAATGATGATAAAAAGAAAAAGATATATCGAAACTCTATTTGAGATTAGATTAAAACAATCAATTGAAAGTGAAACCAATAATGGCAAAAAAAAAGATCTTTATGCGACTATGTGAAGTTTTATTTAAATAGCCTTCAACTTCAAAATCTTTCGATGTCATATGTTAACTATATTCAATCATTATTAATGTTTATATAAATTCAATTAACAATTTTCCATATAATACTACAAAACAATTAATAATAGAAGAAAAAAAATCATAGAAATTGTTAAAAATAATTATTTTACATAACTTTATTTTATTAAAGACAAAATACACATGTGTATCATATTGAAATAGAATAACTTTTAAGAACAAAGAATTCTTTATTGAGAATTAAACATGTTCATTTTGTTATACAATAGAAAGAGTTATATATTGTAACTGAAGAATATTGAATATATGCGAGTCAAATTAAAGGTCTCATCAGTAAACGAAACATGAGCTGCTTATAACATGTGTAGACTGAGATATAATATAAACTTTCTATAGTAGGCATTCTTCGAACTTTTCCAAAATGACCACTATCAGAGCGCGGTATTTTCTCTACAAGCAGTTTTTTCCAAGGAATGGACGCGTTGTTCTAAGTATTTGAATGGTGTTATCTAATAAAAATAAAATAACTGCTGTTCCTTATGACTTATCTTTGAATGAGTTTATTGTTCTTGACAACTTAACAATGTTTAAAATATAGTAAACTCTTCTCGTCATTTACACAGTTTGGTACTTTTCATAAATATTCATCATAAATTATATGATGATGCCCACCATGGAAAGTTTTACTGTATTTGAATTTTAAGATATCTATAATCTATGTCATATGCTAATAATTTAGAATTTCAGCAGAATTTATTTATTTTTCTGTTCATCATGGTTGAATAGAGCTAGTCGATTTACACGTATTACAAAACCTGTATTTCACATACATAAAACAAACAAATATTACGAAAGTCAAAATTTTCGGGTCTATTTTTCCGTACATTTAACAGTAATGATATTATAGATGTAATTCGATGAGCTCTATCGAACCAGCACAAAACAAAAACAAAAACAGAAAAATAAATTTAATGAAAGTTGCATCTTTAATATATGACATAGAAATCTTACAATTCGAATATTTCAGTCTATGGTGGATATAAGCAGCTAATACTCTATTTGCTGGTAAGATCTTTTATTTGATCCAAATGTATTCAATATTCTTGAGTTACAATATACACCCTATCATTGTTAGAATATTTATGAGAACAAATTATCAAATGAATTTTCTGTTTTCTTTTTAATTATATATGCGCCTAATAAAACTTACCATTCTTACAACCAGTTGTGATAATGATTAAATAACTTATAGTTCGTAAGCGATATGATCGATTATATATATATGTAAGCGAGCAGGACTATTTATTTAGTTTTTTCTTTTTTTTTTCGTTTCACGTTGTGCCGTTTATCGAGAGTTGAGTAATGAATAAAAGCTTAAAAGAGAAGAAGGACTAGCACATCTGCATGATCATCATCATCATCTCACTTTTCCTTGTCGTATTGCCTTGTAAAAAAGGACTTAGTGGGTGTATGATGATACGCTACTATCTTACAACAGTCATGATCAACAGCAATCAGTGGCGACTGTTATAGATAGATATAGGCGTACATAATGAATATGAACAGATTATTCAACAAAGAGGACAAAGAAAGAAAAACGAAGAAGAGGAATAAGTGTTGATGCAAGAAGGATTATAAGAGGTATTAAATAAAAAAAAATGAAATCATGTTCTCATATAAATTCTTTCCTTCGATCATCTGAAATCAACTCAAATTTCGAATATATCTCTCTTATAAATGTTCATCATTCAACATTATATAACATATAATACAATAAAATATTAGAATAGGTATAAATATCTATGTGACTCAGTTTACTTTCAAAGACTTACATTCATCTTCTTGATATGTAGAATATTCGGACAAGGTCTGCGTTTGTCTTCTGTGGATAAAATATATTTATGCCTATATATTTCTTTGTATATAGACTGAATAATTCAAAAATGGCGATGATTCTGTCAACAACACCACATAGATAAGTGTGTTTTTCAGTTAAAGAACCTGTCAACTAATGATTGTTTGACGGAGTAGGAGGAGAAAAATAAAGAGATATTTTTGGATATGGACAAACACAATAATATTTACAATGCCAGCTGTTTTTCAAAACAGTATTTTCTTACTGAAGATAGTATGTAGTTTGTCTAGAACGATAAAATAGATTACTATGATGTGTAACCTTTTTCAATGAATCATCAAAGAAAATTTTATCTGATATTTTCATATATAATTGGTTTCAAGGAAACAATTTATCGCTGCATAGAATGGCTTGTCTTCGATTTTGGTCCTGTATCGTTGCGGTTTCATTCGATGACTTCTTAGTTCGGTCTTAGTACTATCAATTACAATTATTCATAATTATATTTAATATAGAACAGAATAACTTCTACAATACAGAATAACAGGAAAAATATGAGAGTTATCAACACTTATAATATTCAGGCGTGTTATGTCTATATATGATGAAAAACATTAAGCGGTTTGTTTTTCTTCACAAATATTGTTTTTGAGAGTTTGCCACATTGAATTGTTAAATGTAAACCTTGATAACTAAGTACAACTGAGTTACAATGTCTAATTGTGAATTGTACATATTGTTGTTTTTGTTTTTCGTATTCAATAGATATGTCGTAACAAGGATTGTTAACATATCATTCATTTTAAGCCGTAATGAACATTTGAGAATAAATTCTTTACATGACTAATCATAAAGATCAGTGATGGCTTATCATTTTCTTCTCATTTGATGAATTATGACCGATTTTAAGAAGAGATCCAAATGAGAGATCATCTAATAGGACTGCATTAAGAGTCACTTAATAGAATTCTTACATAAAATTCATTGTGGAAGTTTTCTTTATATCCATTTTCAAATTAGTCTATGTAAAGATTCAATAATGAATTTTCAAACATTTCAAAGAAATACTAATATGTAAGAATCTTCAACTAACATTATCTCAAGTGTTCTCTCAATAGAATAATTTTTTCTTCTTCTTCTTCTTTAACTTTTACTTAACTTTATATTTCAATGTCTCTAAGAAAAGAAAAACAAAAGAATATTACAGTTTGTGTTTTAAAAAGTTCTTATCAAGAATATACAGCATGAGTCATTTTACTGTACAGATATTTCAATTATGGTATAAATTTCACTACTATCAATATGATGAGCTGCGTACAAACGAACAAAAACATAAGACCAAATTTCGAAAACTATTTCATTAATCTTTATAATAAAAATCTTTTCAGCAAAAACAAAAACAAGGCTATGCATTATTTAACAATAATAATTCTTCGAACAATTCTTTTTATAAACTTTTCATACAAATGACTTTTTAATTAGAACTGTTAATGTAATTATTTTCTCCCTTATTATATGTAAATATGATGAGGTCTATTATATAGAGGTCTTGTTATTTTTTTGTTGCTTGTTTTTACATAAATCAAAATAATATTACAAAGAAAGATAGAGAGAGAGAAAAATAACAAGAAAAAGTTTCCTTATTCAGATAGATCATTTTTATTACCAAATATAGGATATCCTTTCACTCGGCAATAAATTAACTGCATGTTGTTGTTTTTTTTTTCAGGGAAAATTAAGAAAACAAAAAATAAAATATAATAAACAAAAAAAAATTGAAACTAGTGATATTATTGATGAGCAAACATTATTTCTATACAAATCTGGTTCTTTGCTCATCAAATATACACATACGTAGATAAACCTATGTGATCCTGAATCGTTATCCTTTTCTTTTTGTTGCATTTGTATGTCGCGATTTCCAGAGAAAAAGAAAACAAGACAAGATATATAGACAAAGACAGAAAAAAAGAATAAGCATTATTGTACACATAGGAAAGAAAAAAAAAGAACAGATGTTTTATCTCAAGGAAGACTTTAATAATCGGATCACATGGTCTTTTTGTTTTTTTGTTGCGCTTAGACAATGAAAATTTTCTAAAACTCAAATACGTTCAACAATATCGTTTAATGTTTTGTCAAAAGTCTGTGCACATATTTGATATTCATGTGAATGATGTGGGTGTTTAACAGCAAGTAATGGTGAATGTGATTTGACAGCCATACGTGATACAACATTTGTTTCATTTCCAATATGCATAACATATTGTCTCATGAATTCTTCAAATGTTTGTATTTGATATTGTTGTTGTGTTAAACTATTTAAATTATTTATATGATTATGACAATGGCTTGTTGATGATGGAGTTACAGGTGTTGACAATGAATGGCGTGGTTCGTGTATTAATGATGGTGTTAATGATATTGATGACAAGCGTGGTGCAGTCGATGCACTTCTTTCATGTGATGGTGATGCTGTTGAAATTGATGATGATGTACGTATTTCAAATGCATCACGATGTTTTGTATATGTATCATAAACAAAACGCCAACATTTATCAATTTCTTCAGCTATTGGTACATTACCACCAATACCTATTTTTGGTTCTTTATTGGCTGATGCTACTTTACATAAAATTAAATGTATTTTAGGTAATTTAACACCATTTTCATCAGCTCGATAGTAAAAACTATAATGACGATAATAATAATATATACTGGACGGTTGGGAAAAACCATAAAGAAGACTAGAAAAAGAAAAGGATTTAATCTTTGATGTTTTTGTTTTCTTGTTTTTCTCTAGTACCTAAAAAGATATTCGAAGCCATTTCGATGTAGATGATCTTCGCTAACAGGTAATATAAGACGATCTGCAGCTGTTAATGCTATTTCAGTACAAACACTAAATGATGAGTTTGTATCAATAAATGTCATTAATTTAATTCCACGTCTTTCGCCTATTTTATGTACAAATGCACGTAAACTTTGTGTTATTGTACGCCATGGATTGGCATAAGGAGTTATTGTATGTGAACTTCGCTTTAAATCCATTGCTTTACTTAATAATTCAAGGGATGTATCACCACATAATAAATAAACCTATTTAAAAAAAGAATTTTTTTTTTCTTATTTACAATTTTTATAAGAAAATTTTCTTTTTATTTACATTACGAGGCAATTGATTGTTAAATTTGGATACATTAAATAAAAATGTTCGTGGATCAACATTATTTGGTAAACCAACTGATGTATATATATCGAGATAACCTGATATTGTTCGTGGTATACGTTGTTGTCCATCAAGTATCATTGGATCTTTTTTTAGTGAACCTATTTGTGAAACATAATCACGTCCTTCTTCATCATCACCTAATTAAATAAAAAATAAATTATCATATACTATTATTCTTTATTAAGAATTAATTTGATTTCTAATTGTGTTCGTCTTTTTTTTTTCTTTGTGTTTTTTTTCTACTTGACGTTTTAATGTTTCTTACCAAGAAAAGCATGACTAAGATCAGCTTGTGGACACATATCAACAACAAGAACAGTTTTATCTGGATTTCGATATGCGTATTTAATAGCTAAATGATAAGTTAAATTTGTTTTGCCCGAACCACCACGATTATTCCACACCACATAGCTTCCCTCCAATGGCATTTTCTAAACATATAAATGAATATGTAAACACATGGAAAACATATTGTTAATGAATGTATTTTGTTTTTTATGGAGGATCTCATACATATATATATACATATACATATATATATATCATATAAAAATGTATTCAACACTAAGGTACTCAAAGTAAATTGTAAAAAAAAGAACGTACACAGTATGCCTTAAAGACAATTTTTTCTTTTTTTTTTTGTTTCCTTTATTTTGTATATGCCGTTAAACAATCTTTTTATTGCACGAGTTTAGTTGTCATACAATGTATGCATTGCTGTCTGTCATGTCATCGAAATGACATAGATAGAACGACAGACAGTCGGATATATAGATGAATCGTTAATATGCATTATCGTCATCATTTTCACATAAAGAAACTATTACTACGATTAATAATACTACTACAGTTACTATATTACTCGAGCACAATCATATCTTGAATCAATAAACAGATAAATAACTTGTTGAAAAAGAAACACAACTGCAAACCTTGCCCGTTGGGGACGGTACATTAATAGTGGCTACTGAAGCAGATGTTGGTTTTGGTGATGTTGTGGTTGTCATTGTATTTGTAGGAATTGTAATAGTAGACGAAACAAAAAAAAACCACAAAAGATGATGGTCGTTTGACCACCGATTTGTTGTCACTTGTTACAACGTTATGGTTGGAGCCGACAGAGTGACAATAAGTAGAAGAAACAGTTGCTTTAATTAACTATTTGTACAACAACACACGATCGACACTGTGCACAGCATCAACATCGGTATAGAGAAAAGCCTAGAGCCTTGTTCTCCGTTTTCTCCTTCAATAATCGTAAAAGCTAAACGACAACGATGTCTCTATCGGCTGCCGTATAGAAGCAATGAGAAAGAGAGGAAAAGAAAAAAAGAATCGAGCGAAGCAGTCGATTGTCTTTCACTCCGTCCTCTTCTTTCTTTCCCTGTTCTGTTCTGTCATTGCTAACAGCAACAAAACAGGAAAACCTGAAACTAGTCTCTCTCTTATGTTCTTCCATTAATGACTTTTCGTTCTTTTTGGCATATTTGTATGTGCATATTATGTGTCTCTGTGTGTTACACATCTCTAGTCGCATTTGCATTTAATATACTTAGCAGAAGACATTGCAAGTTTCAGCCTTATGTTTTATGGCTCCTGAGAAACTCTACAAAATGCGTCATTACTTATATGAATGTATATGCATATATATATATGCGTAAATTTCTTGCTTGGCTCCGATCAATCAGTTCGACATGTGGAGAAATAGAAATATTTCCTATTTTCCTTATACGACTTCCTTCTTCATCTTTTTTTTTCATTTAAAATAAGAGAAAAAAAAAGCCGAGTATAAGAAAGGACGAGATACACTCAATTGATCGTTTTTCGCTGTCTCACACATGCATTCATTTGATTCAAAGTGCACTTCAATTTCTGATTAATACTTAGTTCATTTATTGAGCTTCATTGGAACCATTTTAAAAAAATGCAGTAATATATATATAATAGAAAATAATATATCTAAATAAATAGTTCTATCAATTGATTCTCCCTATTCTAATTACGAAAATAAATGAGAAAATAACATTAGACCTGCACACCAAAATCCTATCAATTTAACTCTCAATTTGAATATAAAAAGCATATTCAAGGTATACGGAAGTTCATCAATAACAAGAAACAATACATATGCGTATATATATAGATAGATATATTTATATAGCTTCTTAGCTTTCTCCTTTCTTGTTATAAATGACATATAAATATACTCGTCAAGAAAGTTGCTTTTCTTGTTTGTAAAGAAAAAAAAACCAAAAAAGCTTTTCATGTTTAAGAACGACTGTCGTTCACAGTCAATTTCAACATTTTTTTTTTCTCGTTTCTAGTCATCATCATCATCCATGAAGAATAATTTGATTAACCATTTTCATCAATCCGATGAAAGAAATAGAAAGTGATCTATATATATATATTATATATATATATTCACGACTAATGCATACATGCCGTGGATGACAGAACTTGTTAGTTTAATATAATCCGAAAGTGAAAGGAGCAAGCTTATGAACTATGCGTACCATGCAATTATGCTAAGGATAGTTGACGACTTCCGGATAAGGTTGAGCACATTTTCTTTTTTTTTCCTCATATAAAACGAAATGACAATGCTAAAGAGAAAGAAAAAAAGACATTGGTCTATATGTTAGGTACTGATACATGCAATAAAGAATAAGTATACATTGAAATTAATGATGACACGAGAACACAGTATTGTCAAGATTAACTATGTGCGCAATAAATGACGTGAGTGATGTTCTATCGTGCATTAATTTGAAGGAGAAAAAAAAACAACAGGAATATAGAATGAATTGCGCGACCAAGCATATACTTGCACTTTAATAGAATCACATGTCAAGCAGGTGGGAAACCACACATGTTTGAAAAAAAAAACGCTGAAGTTTCAGAGTATATAATATTATTTTTTTCTTAGTCTAATTGTATTGAACACATACTTTTATGAACTTGCTGGAAAGATGTCAGGTATATAAAGGATTATGTTTTTTAATATGAACGTTTTAAATAAACAATCAAACTTAATATAGATGTCTCATACCTGTTGATGAAAGTGTTCGTTGATGTCGCGAGCGTAGCATGTATCGTGCGTATTGCTCGGTATCTATGGTCGTATCGTCAATTGTCGTTAATACGACGACGATCCGTTAAAGACAACTGATAACCATGTCCATACTTCCGCCTTCGTTGGAGATCTCGAGTTTCCGTTAATAATAGTGTAAAAATCATCTCCAAATATAGAATTATAGTCTATATCATGAAACGTAGAAATAGAATATAAAACAAGACAATAAATAATCTTGCTTTTGTTCTCACTTTCTCCGCCTTTCTTACTATAAAACAAATAGTACGATGGTGCATTGATAAAAACAATTAATAAGTATGCACAAACGACAACAAGATAAAAAAAAAATAGAAGATGGAAAAGAGCAACAAGATGGAGGACAATCAGAGTCAGAAGCAACAGCAACAGCGGTATTTTCTCTCCCTTTCACATTCCCGGCTCTTCGCATCGACAACGACAACAGCAGCAATAACAGAAACGAGCAGATCCGCTCTTGCCTTCTCTCTCTCTCTTCATCATCCTCACTGTGTCTATTTCTCGTCCCTTCTCCCTCTCTAATTCACATCACGCACACACACATACACTCACATACACACATCGAAGATTGTAATGTTGGTTGGCTGTTTGGTTGGCTGCCTCTTGTATATATGATCGGATAAAATGGTGTGCCCTAGCGTCGTTGTTGTTGAGACAAAGACGTACGGCTCGTGCAAAAGAAAAGAGTTAAAGCAGCAGAAGAAGAGGAAGAGAACGACAACCGCCGACGAAACGCTCAAATCCACGGAGACAAAAGTTTAAAAGACGGTGTGCATGTGGGTAAATGCATGTGCTAGCACGTAGTTCTACTAACATCGTCTAATAACAAACAAAGGAAAAAATTTGGAAAAAAAGAAACAGGAGAAAGACTACAAAATTCTAAAAGTAAAACAAATCGAACAGATGTAAAGTAGTGACAAATGAAGTTGATGATGATGATGATAATGTATTTATTTTTAGAAAGATGTAATAGAAATCGCTCGATAGTTCTATTTGTTGCTGTCTATACTGTTTATCTCTCTCACACGTTTCCTATCTGTTATTGTCTTGTTCTTTGATGCATGTTTTCTCTACTATAACAATTACTATCACTTTTTCTCTATTTTCTTCGATATGATTATATATGGCTGTATTCGTTCTGTTGCTTTTCTTTTTTCTTTTTCATCCATATTTCTTTCATTCAATTTTGATCATAAACTAATTTCAAGAATCAATCAAAATTGTATATATTTGTATGAAAAAGAATTTGTATCTTTATATTTGCGCAACAAATAAAAAACAACAAGTCCTGTATAGAATCGTTTCTGTCACGTCACAAAAAAAATCGGAGATGTGCGCGCACATCCACGATAGATAAAAATATGCACGTCATCGTGTTCGTCGTTGCATCTTAAAAAGAACACACTAGTTACATGTAAAACGGCTGCAGGGTGCTAAGAGAACTGTAGATATATATTTATATCTGTCTCAACTATATATATATATGTATATATATATATATAGTTGAGATAAAGAAGAGAAAAAAAACTGCAATAGTAACAATAACTCGATATGCATAAATCATGCTAGAATAACAACCGAACAGGTCCACATGAAACAGACAGATAGCAAGAAAGCTTCAATTACCTCATTTGCACACACCATTAACTTGCTACTACTGTTTAATGCCAATGTGTGTACACGCGTGTATATGCACACTTTTCTGAAGTCCTCTCAATAGAACCATCAATCAACGAACATCCGCGTTATTGGCATAGTCAAAAAAAAAATGGAAAGTATAGTCGTATAAAAGAAAGATAGGAGGAGAAAGGAAAATTATTGTAGACAAAAGTATGCTTAACTGATGAACGGAAACAACTGTCAATAAAGTGATATAAAAGTCTAGTAGACGTTTACGAAAAAATTCCGAATGGCTAAAACAAATAAGAGAAGAAAAAACAGCTTATAGACAACAGAAACTAATATATATATATATATTAGTATTTATAGTTAAAAACTGCGTGAAATTAGCTCAATTTTACTAAATAAGAAAAATAAAATGTAAATTTTAACACTAAGTTAATAAATCATGAACGCATTGACAATTTTCTCTTTTAACTTGTTGACTGAAGAGAAAAAAAAAAAAGAAATAACAGATTCATCAATGCACGACAACGATGTCTTTAATGGTGGTAGTAGTTTCCGGCTCATCGTTAATAACGCAATTATGATCTTAAAAAAGACTTTGATTTCATCATTGAGCACGTTCTCAACTTTATTCATAGTGCACGTCGAACGAATAACATTTGATGCGTAGGATGGTATAACAGTAAAGAAAAAAAATCACTTGATTCTATACGGAGCATAGTTTTTTTCTTTTTTTTTTCTTCTTTTACAAATAATAGATATTTATTTATAATATTATTTATAGAAATATTAATTTTGATTATTTTTCTTTTTGACTTGATTCATTGTATCTAAATCATATATGTATATGTAAACTTTCCATTCGGTGCTGAATCACCTTTATCAATGAAATTGAGCGAATCAAATGTATATAAACAATTTGCTGATAACCATTTAAATTGCAAATTGATTCTTGTCTTATTAATATGCAATGATTGATAGGAAAGAGCAAAATGTAATTCATTATATCCACTATTTATAATCGTTATCGTTTCTTGATATTGCCAATGACTTGTATTATTTAGATTTTTCTTTAGTTGATTTTCACCTAAATCAACTAAATAATCAAAACCAATCCAACCTGTTGTATAATTACTAGCAATATTAAGAAATAACCAATTTAATTTATTTTCTTCAATTCATGGTTCATATGAACGTAGATAAAAATATAAATTTATTTCATCACCTGCAATTTGCATTCTTTCTAAATCATTTCGTTGACTATAATCAATAAGTTGTCCACCTTGATTGCCATATTGTGGATGATTACGAGATGGAATGTCACATAAATCATCTAGATAATATAGTGTCACATTATTCTATTGTGAAAAATCTTGATTGATGATAATCGTTTGACATACCTTTAAAACGGCGAATATAACTAACAAGTTAATAATAATAATTATCCTGATGTTCACCTAGCATTGGTTCGATATCACGTGAATATTCTTGAATAAATTCATCAACAAAAAATATTGTACCTATTGGCCATTGTTTACCAATAAAAGAATTTTGTGCACTTGTTTGAATAAAATGCTGTGCAATCCATTCATTCTAACCAGTGACAAATATAAATAATGATTCGATTTTTAATGCTTGTTCCCATTGTTGAAAAAAATAAGTACCTATCATGGGATTTATTTGTTCGGGCTCATGTTGAATTGGACCATCATATGAACAACCAATATTCATCAAAGGATGACCAGCAACTGAAACACATGTTTGTTCAAATTGTCCGTCTTCATTTAAACCACGTCCTTGTGGATAATTATCAATCCATGGCCATTTATTACGACCATTACCATAACATTCTTGATCTTTTGTCCATGCCCATGATTCATGTATCGTAAAAACATTTAATAAATACGATGGAAATCCATATGGATTTGCAAATATAAGTGGTTTATCATTCCAAAAATACCATAAATCTCTATAAAGATTTTGACTATATAAATTTTCATATAATTTTCGAACTGTTTGTTTACTATATGACCATGTTATAAAGCAAAATTTTGGTGTACGTATTAATTTTGATCTCATATCCATATAAATATTATCAATTTTTGACCATATATTATCATATGTAAATGCATTTGTTGCATATAAAATTAACGTATCAACACCAGCGTCAGCTAATATTTGTACATGTTTTCTTATAACAAATTCATCATTCATTAAATAATGATTTAAATATGGTTGACCCCAATGATGAAATTCATATAATGGACTCCATGTAGCATTTAATAAAATTTCCACCAGATGCAGATAAAATTTTTGTTATATCATATGGACCTGTTTTAAAACTAGCTTCATTTTCAGCCCATAAAAAATAGAAAATTCCAACAAATTTGTTTGGTTTTATGTCTCCCACTTGATCATATGTATGTAATACACGACCTAAACCATCACATGCTGCCCAGCTATCCGGTTTCGTTGTAAATGATGGATCCACAGTCAACACAAAGATTCATCGAAAAATGAATACGACTACAGCATATAACATTGTTTCTTTATATATACTATCAGTAGACTCATTTTTATCTAGCATCAATCTATATATAAATATATAGATACGTATATTGCCGGAAGATAAGTGCAACTTTATTTTAATTTTATATTGACTCAATAGGAAAATGAACACACATTTATATATAGTTTGACAAAATGCCACATTTTCTTTTAATCCTTAAGATATAAAATGTCATATGGATCGAATTATCCTAAAAAACAATTGATTTCTATATTTATCGCATTTCCGAGAGAATAGTTTTATTATTATATAAAGGCATTTCAAAGATCAATGAATATTAAATCATACTTATTAACTATATAATATATATATATATAATTTTAGTAGGAAAAAAATTTTCTTTCCTATTGCATTACTATTATATTTCTTATTAAAATAATTATTTATAAAAGTTTACATATAAAAAGAAAAAATCTGAAAAAAACTCATTTTCTTTTGTGTCTCTTATTTGATATCATTTTATATAAAACAAAAACTTACCTCATTTATAGTGAAATTTGCTTCAGTAATATTGCCACTTAACAAATTGATTTGACTTTTTCGATGATCCATCAGTCGATCAATGTCAAGAGTTAAAGAATTTCTAGCGGTTGTTGCATCTGTCGATTCCATCGTCTATCTGCAAAACAAGATAGTGACAGCTAGCATATCTTAGATAAGTTAGAACAAACAAAAAAAAAGAAAAAACTTTCTTTTTTTCTCTTTTCTTAATCTAAGCTTATTTCTGCTCTGTTTATCTGTAATATAGTTCTAACCAAAGTTTTATTCAAACGCAATATTTAGGATGATCTATGTGTTGCTTGAGTTTCTTTTCTCATATTCTAAAAGCAATTTTGTTGAGTATGTATATGATTAGATTCAGAGGAAACTCATATTCATAACAAAAAAGTAACAACAATGAATAAACCATTGAATCTTGCTTTTTTTTCATCGTACACAATAAAAAACAGAAGAGGAGAAAAAAAGCTCAATCTTAAAGACATAAGAAAAAAAAAAAGGAGAAACCAGTGCTACTGTCATTTTTTTTATCCATTCGGCTAAATGAAGAGTCGTTCTGACGATGCCATAAGCGATCATTCGATTTGTCTTCAAGCGTACAAGACAAGACCGTGCACATAAACAACACCGAGCGAAAAAGAGAGAAAGACGGAGAGAAAAAAAATGCACAATGAGCGCAATAACACGTTCTCTTTGATCTTTAAGTTTCATGGGACCACTCCATTAAGCATAGAAATCCATCATCTTACTGGTGAATAAGAATATTAATATAAAAGCGAGTGCATACTAGCATTAAAATGTTCTTGAAAAGCAACGAGAAATGTCGTATATATATATATATATTCATTGAATTAGAAAGCAAAAGTGAAAAGATAAAAAAAAAAAAAAACACAATTTCCGCGACCTGTCATAGAAATGCGATCATGCTTCTTTAGCTAGGGTTGACTTTAGTTATAATAAAATACTTCTTTCATTTTTTTCAGATGTAATCGTATTAAAAAAATGTGAAGAAATTACATACAGTTTCATACAAAACAGGTCATTATAAATCGTTAATATTTTAAATATTGCTCATTTATAACTGTCATTGTCAACTAAAATGATATTTTAAGGATGGCATACAAATAAAAGAAAAAAATTTATATGACAAAGTCACTTGTCAAGTAAAGTGGAAGAAGTACAGCAATGATAAATATTGTCAAAAAAGGATGCGTCTGTCGTTAGACATTATTAGTATGTCTAGGGGGGGAAAAAAGAGCGACGAAGAAAAAGAAAAAAGGAAAGAAACCGATAAAGGCATTCACGAAATCATCTCGGTTTTTTTCTTTTTATTCTCTATATAGATGTTACACTGTTTGCTTTCTTATTTTATTTATCAATTAGTTTCTGTTATTTGTATTCCAATATTGATGCAAAGCCGAAGATCATGATGAGGAATGTACAATGATTTTCTTTTGTTCTTGTCTTGTCAATATAGATTAACAAATTGATTGATTGCTTTGATTCATTGATTATAAATACATAGAATGGTTGTAGTCAATTAACCAAGAATAATTCTTATTAGTTATTTTTGAGAGCAAAAAACGATTTTTTACCGATTTGATCTTCAACATATGTCAGTTATCATTATATACAAATATATTTTGTATAAAAAACCAATCACATACTTGTTTCCCGCAAGTGATACTGAAACTTTTCATGATCATACATTAATGAAAATGTTTGGATGTCATACACAAAATAGTAAAATATGTTGTTATTTTCATTCTGGTTTTTTTTTCTCACAAGTCGCCTAAAAGCAGATAGTATTAATAATAAGAGCAACAATACTCTAATTCAATTGATATATTAATGCTTTAAGTAGTCGACATTTATTTGCCATATGCTTTAGAAAGGTTTTCATTCTGCTATTACTATACAACATATAATATCATTAGTGAAAACAAACACTTTAACAACAAATTGCTCATTAGAAAATCATCAAGAAATTCTCTAATCGAATTTTTCTTTTTATATATGCTGTTGATTTATAATGATAAAATACATTATTAATCTATAGTATATTCCATTAGGAATACATTTTGAAAAAAATATTGTTTTCTATTAGATCCCACATTGAACGATTTGCATGTTTTTTTTTTTTTATTGAGAAATTTCTCAGGTGGCTATATATGTAGTTTTAATTAATAATTATATTTCAATACACTTACTATTAATACATCTTTTTTTTTTGACAAGTATTATCTATTGAAAATTAATCATAGAGATTCTGAAGATTACAATAAAGAATAGAATAGAAAAGAAAAGAAAAGAGAAAGATGTATGATTATATGCAAGAATGTTAAGCGGATATATTAAAAATCTATTTGTGAGTACTGAAACAAAACATAACAAAGCATATACCATAAACATGTGGATCATTATTAAGAAAATATATACAAATTGAGTTCTGGATTTGAACGTAATATATTATAAGTTAAAAATTAACTTTTAATCTATAGATATATAATTCATGAACGGTTTTGATTATTAATTAATTTTAATGACGTTGGATAGGATAGGCATCATTTAAAACATCGAAAAAGGCACTGTTTGATCTCAGTTTTAATGAGTAGTACTTGTAAATTCTATATCGTTACACTTGATTATATGAAGAAAAAAAAAGAAGAAAAATGAATAATGAATTCTTATAATTAATTTCAGATCATGTATAAGAAACGGAAATGACTGAAATGTGATGGTGTTGACTCATTATTATAATTTTTTTTTCGCTAACTAGAAAAATATTGTATGTATCAATCAAATATAATCTTTCTATGAAAGGTGAATAGTTCTTATAAAAATTTCATAATGAAATAAAAATAAAATCATAATTCGATGTTTTTCTTTAAATTATTCAAAAGTGGGTGATTGACAAGTATTTCCAACGAATCAATATCTATGAGTTAAGATTATTTTTTTCGAATATAGGCATAGATATTGTTATCTCAGTTTCTGTTCGAAAGTAATGAAATAATCTTTGAGAAGCCGAAAGAATTAAATTGGACGGAACTTGCGAGTCAACGTTTCCGGTAAATATGTTTATCCATGTTGACTTGCTCCACAGCATTTCATAGGAGTCAAAAAGTATAAGTCGTAATCAAAATTTTATGCTTTTTTTGAATATAAGCTTAGAAATTTTGTGTTTGTTTTCGTTTAAGAGTAATAAAAGACTTTTTTGAAAGCTCTGAAAAATTCTTTTTAATCATGACCCAACAGGTTTTTGTTTACTCTATAAATTTCTTTTCGAATATGATATAATTTGTCGAAATCCATCATTTTGTAGAGTAGCTCTTGACCTACAAGTTGATATATAAAAAAAAGATTTCCAATTTTTGTTTCGAATCACATTAGTGAAAATACAAAGATAACTGAGTCTCAACTAATTTTTTTTTTCTTAAGACGTGACCAAACATCTTGTCTAGAAACTTTGTGATCGCTCCTTACATTCAATCTCGATCTATAGTCGGAATTATTAATTTGTATTTCACAAGAAGAATATAAAATTTTGAAATTTTTTTCGTTGAGTTAAAATATGAATACAAAATCATTTTATTTATCTGATAAAAATGGTTTTATAGCTTCAATAGCTTGTTTAGAATGTTCGATAAGTAAACTATGATTAGCTTCATGTATAATATTCAATGATGAGTTTTTATATAATTTATGATAATGATAAGCATTTTCAACAGGTGTTAATGTATCTTTATCACCCCATATAATTAATATAGGTATATTTAATTGTTCAATAAATTGAATCGTTTTCAATGGTAATAGAAAATTAAAATGAAATATTGTTGAAAATAATGAACGTAAATAACCAGGATGTTGTTTACATGTTTGTTCAAATAACTTTTGATATTGTTTATATTCATCTTTATTTGGATATGTCCATTGTGAACGTACTGTTTTATTATCACCATTTTCCATAACTAATTTAAAAAGCATTGGTCCAATAATTGGTATAGATAAAATACACATGAGAATCATTGATGGTTGTACAACATTAAGTCCAGCTGAACAACAAAGTATAAGTTTTGAAACTTTTGATGGATAAAGTTCAGTGAAACGTTGTATTATGATACCACCCATACTAACACCAAATAAATTATATTTTTCATATGGAAGATTTAATGCATATAATAATTCAGCTAATTGAGAAACAAATAAATCAACACTCATTGGTACAAATGGAGCATCGGACCAACCACGACCATATAAATCAAATATTAAACATGATTGATTATCGTCAACAAGTGATTGAAAAACATCTTGCCAAATTTGCATTGGAATCGAAAAACCATGAACAAATATATTTAATTTTGATGATGATGATGATGATATTGATGTTTTTGTTGATGATGCTCGATAAATATAATGAACTTTACCAAATGAAAGTTCTATAAATTGATCTGTTCCCATTTGTGTTAAATCTACTGTAGATGCTTCATTGTATGGACGTGATAAACGACCATATTTAAAAGTAAAACGTTCACGAAATTTATATATAAATCCGACACCTGCGGCAATTAAAATTGTAATAGCATATAACATCTACAATTGATTCAATATTTTCATCGATATTTATGTGCAATGACAAAAATCGATAAAATCATTTTATTTCAGCCTTTAATCGAATAATAGATAATAATTAATACATCAAATAGGTTTTCCTTCTTTCAGTTATGCTGGAATAAAAAGTGAATAACAAGTAATAAACTGCATTCATCCTAACCATTCAAAAATCGAATTGAATACATTAAAGATTAATTAAATCGTTTAAAATTTAATTTATAACAAAGTTGATCGGACTAGACATGAGTGAGATCGAATTCTGTTTTTTTGAGATTAACTCATTTCTTAAACATTTTCTTCAGTCAGATCAAGACTATTAGTATTCAATCTGATGATTAACTATCCATGAACTTAAATTGTTATCCTTTTCTTTAAGAAACAAAATCCATGTATTTTCGGTTTTGTATATTCAAAGACAAAAACAAGAGACTTACTACGAACTGTTTAAAGCAACTACATAAATATATCATTGCAATAATTTTTCTTTGTTAAAACAGCTCCTTTGCTTATTTTTCCATCGCATGAATAAAAACTGAACACAAAGAAGAAAAAAAAACATTTATATATCATTTACATATATGCATTCTCAAATTATCGTTCTTTGTTTTGTCTTTGTGAATATATCGTGAAGATAGAAAAGAAAACAAAAAAAAAAAAAGATGTATATGTATGTATGCGTGTGTGAGTATGTGTTGTAGAAAACAAAGATATTATAAAGAGAAAACAAAACCAAATAAACAAGGCAACCACCGCAGATCAATCAACTAAAAAAACACATCATAAAGAAGAATAAATGAAGACAATTTATATTCACTGTCTATTTGTCCTTTTTTTTTTTTTCTTGTTTTTCCATTCTCACACGCGCGCACACACACAACTCAAGTAATTATTGATAGAAGACAAACAACAAAAGAAAATTATACACAAAAAAAAAAAAAAGAAAAAAAAAACAAATCAATCTTTCTCCCTCACACACTTTTGCAGTCAAATTTATTATATTCATGATGAATTTCCATTCGAAGTTTTTGAAATATTATGTTGACGAATTGTTCGATATTTTTGTACATATGCATCAATCATTTTACTTATTCGTACACGATCAACTTCATTAGCATTTGTAGCCTAAAACAATAAAAGTTGTTGCTTTTTTGTGCTTTATTTTTATAATCTAAATATATATTTATACTTTTGTAACGACTTTTTTCATTATTTCTTTATATTCATCTTTTGTAATATCATGTCTTCTAAATGCTGGTTTTAAAGCTTCTTTAGCAATGGCAGCTATTTCACTTTGACGTTTTTCACGTTGTTTCCTCTAAACAAAGAAACAAAACAAAAATCGAAATTTTCAGTATATCATTTCACATTTTAATAACGCACTCTTTCGATACGTTCAAGATGTTTAGCTGATATTGGAACAGTATCATCTGTTTCAGTTGTTGTTATTGTTGTTATTGTTGTCGTTGTAGCTGTTGTTGGTACTAGATTTAAAAATTGTTAGAAAAAAATTCTTTTAATGTTTTTGTTTTTTTTTAAACTTACGATTTGTATCACCTTGTTTTTGAATTAATTTACTCATAGCTTCAGAAAGTTTACCAAGCATAGTAGCTTCACCTGAATTTGAAATTGGTGGTATTGTATTTGGAGTTGTTGATGGTTGACTTGAAACAAGTGTTGGTAATGTAACAAGTGATGGAAGAGCAATTAAGTCTTCTAAAAAAGCAAAGACAGAAAAGATTTATTTTTTATAATTAAAATTAATAAAACCTGTTGGTGCTTCTTCAGGTTTTTGTGATGCTAGCCATTCGGTGGTATAATGTTTTGATGTTGTTGAACGTCGTTCATCATTTATATTAAGTTTTTTTGTTAATGATAAATGATCTTGTTCTTTTTTAATCATCGTTGAAATTAATGATGGTATATCTTGAGGACTTTCAGTACTTTTATCACTAGGTGTTGATATTATTGTTGTTGGATTTGTTCGATTATCGATTTGCTGTTGTTGTTGCTCAGTAGATGAATTTATGGATTTATTTGATGTTGTTGTTGTTGGTGGTGGTGGTGGTGGTGCACCGAATAAATTTGATATTCGTTCATCAAGAGATGTTTGTCGTGAATTATCATCTGTTGAAGGTTTGTTCGTTGTTGTTGAGTCAGGTTCTGTTAAAAAAATAAAACACCGAGGATTTGAATATATATATATAAAATTAATTGATGAAAATATTTACGTGTGGTTGATGATTCTTTTTTACTTTGTTTTTTATGTCGGGATGATAGACGTGGTGTCATATGATTTGTATGTGGAACTTTGTACAATGTATATGGTTTTTTTGTTGGTGATGGTGTTAGAGAAGGAACAGAAGTTGTAGTTGAAGTCGTTGTTGTTGTGATGGTGACTGTTGCTGTTGTTGCTGTGGTCGTTGGTGTTATGACTTTGATGGATTCTTCTTTACTGTCAATTTTTTGAATTGAAGCTTCAGGTATTGTTAAACTATCGAGGTCAATAGATTTTACGGGACTGTGTTCTTGTTCTTCTTCAAGTAACATTTCTTCCATAAGCATATCATCAGCTGTGTTACCATTAGTTTTTGATGTTATTGTGGATTGAATAGAATCATTTGTATTGATTTTAGATTCAACTTTAGCAGGAATAGAAGGAACGGATAATGGTTTGACTGATTCAGATTTAATTTGTGATGACAATAATCGAACTGGAGGTGCTTCTATAGATAAATTAATAATAGAGAATTTATCAATTTTTCTTGTATGATATTTCTGGAGAAAACAATCAACAACGCTCTGTAGTATAGTATTCGTATAGCTAGAAATGTGCAGGGTTACAGTACTTTGTAGGGTAAAGTAACAGTACAGTTTCTCTTGAGAATAAAATAGCCGAGACTGCAGTCTTAAAATCTTTTAAAGTTTCATGAAAATTTTAAATCCTTACTGGAAGTTTGCTATTGTTCACCTCGAATTTTACAGACCAGAATAAGAAAATTTCTCTTAGTAGTTTACCCAATACATTTCTAATGATAATGAAAACATGAACTTTCTTTTTCGTTTAATATGGCCTATTGAGTATTGACTAGTTTGGTATTACTACAACTATGTTTGATCGAAAAAACTTTAATTTTTATATTTTTCTAAAAATTTACGTGTAAATTCAGATGTAGCTGCTGTAGTGACTATTTGAATTAAATTACTACGTGAACGTTGAGATCCACCATTTGTAGTACTAAATGATGAACTTGGCGATGAAATTTTGTTCGAATGATTTATAGGAATAATAGGTGTATTTGTATCATTCATATTTTTTAGACGATTATAAATTCGATTACGATCTTCTGTTGATATTTCATGTTGTTTTGTTTCATTATTATGAAGAGATGAATTTCCATCAGTTGTTACAATTTTTGAAAGAAGACGAGGTGGACTAGAAAAATTTGAGTGTGTTGTACGACGATCAGCATTTGATTGATGTGTTGAAGATGAATAATCACGAGATGAATATTTTGACGATGTATATGAAGGATAATTACGTGATCGATGTGAATAATAATCATCTCGTTTTTCAGAACGGCGTGTTGATTTATTATAAGATGAATTTGAAGATTTTTCATCTTTTAGATCAAATGTTTTTTTATGATTATTTGATGTTGAAGGTGATGATGGAGATTTTGATGATGAAGATACTGAAGATGATCGATGTTTAAGATGATGTTTAGATTTTTTTCGTTCGTCATTTCGAGAGGATTTTTTATGTTTTGACGATGAGATTGTGTCTATATTTGATGATGATTCATTATTGTTCACTGTTGTTACTATAGATGAATTAGGTGATGAAGGACGACGACGCTTTCGATCCGAAGAATTATGATTACGATGAGATGGTGACCTTATTAAAAGAAATTTTTTTATTTAGATTTCGAAAAAAAAATGATGAACTTACTGTGATCGGTGGTCTGAATGATTATTATTATGTTCTACAGGACTTTTACTTTTACGTTGTGATTGTTCTTGTTCATTCGTTTGTAATGACGAAGATTTGTCTGAATTTGATGATGTATTCGTATTATTAATCACAGGGTGGGTTGCCATTCTAATACAAAATAAATAATAATTACATTGAAAAATGTCGGAAGTCGTTTCACTCCATATTATAGCTACACATGTATCCCTCTGAGGTCAGTAGTGCAACGAAGGGGCTCAGCTACTTTGTAGCCTAAAATCTTGGCTACGTCACTGTATGAGACTTCTGGTGAAGGGTTAGGACAATTTCTATGGAAATTTAATCGGCAGTACGGCACTTATGAAAAGCTAAAGAAAAAGTTTTCCCTATACACAGATTTATCCGATAGTTCTGAAAGTTTTAAAGAAAACGAATGTCGTTTTTTTTAATCACACAAGGAATTGTGTGTCGTTATAATATAAATTCAAACGACATCTGACAATTGTATACATAATTATTCCTTCGTAAGTAGAAAGTTTAATTTTTAACAGAAAACATACCCATTGTTAATCCGAATGGAATCTTGCTTTTGATGTTTTGCATTTTTTAACTGTTCACTCTCATTATTATTATTATTATCACCGTCATCATCATAATCAATAGTAAATGGATCGTACTCTTCATTGCCTGGATTTGTCACAATAGATGACGATGGTGTTTGTTCAGGAATATTAAAACGAACAGGTGGTTCCTGAATCGACATCTATAACGAAAAAAGAAAAAAACAAAAAACAAACTCAAATTATTATCCATAAAAATTTCTTGTTTTTCAAATAATATTTTCTCTCAATCAAAAATTATTTAACTATTATTTCTATTAAGTTTATTAGGATTTTTCGGCTTTTCTTTATTACTGATTAAACAAACAGAGAAAAAAACGGACACAACAAAGACATACAAATAAAACCGGAAACATATATATATACATACACACATATGAACTATAACCAAGAATAAAGAAAATTAGATTTGCCCCTTTTTTTTTTTATATATATTCATGATATTTCAATATGTGGTCTAAAATAAATAAAAAATAAATTATTTTCGAAAAAAATCAACTCAAATGAATATATATTTACCCATATATCCTAACATTTTGTAAATTATGAAGACGTTCTTGAGAATTAAGAAGACTATCAATAAATGATGGAGCAACTGAAGATGTCGAATTTGATATTCGTGTTGTCATTGTTGATGATCGTGGTGTTGGAGATGGTCGAACTGGTGCATCAGCTCGACGTTGAATACGTGGTAATTGATTAATAGGTATTCGTGGTTGTGTTGGCGCTATTCGTGGTGGACGAATTGTTCGTGATGGTACACGATCAAGTATTGGTGTTGTTCGTCTTATACTTAATTCTCGACTTATTGATGGTTCTGTATGACTACGAGACATTATTGGTATACCACTTGCAGCTATTCGACGAGCTGCTTCACTAGAAACGAAAAAAAGAATTTATTTCAAGAAAATTTTTCTTTCTTTTTTTTTCAAACTTTGGTGTAATTATAGATCGATGTGCTGGTAACATTGCTGTTGTTGTTGTTGTTGTTGATGATGATTCATCTTCTCTAAAAATTAAATGAGTAAAAAAAATTAGTAGAGAAAAAGAGAATAGAAAAAAAAAGAATACAAACAAAGCAATTGGTTCACCATCAAAAATAGATAATCTTGGTGTATCATTTCGATTAGTAGAACTTTGTGCATTAGTTGATGTTGAACCCTCTCTTGTTCTTGTCTAAATAAGAAAAACAAAGAGAAATTTCAAATTTATTTGTTAATTACTTACATTAACATTATCTATTCGTCGATTAACATCATGAAGCACTTGTCGTTGACGTCTTTGACGTTGTCGTTGTTGTTCCATTAATGTTAATCGTCTTGTAGTTGGTCTACGTCGTCGTCTTGATTGTCGTTGACGACGACGACGACGTGGTCTTGTATTTGGTGATGTTGTACGTTGATTACGTACTCCACCTGTTCCTAAAAAATATGTACATTTATAAAAAAGTAAATTATTAAGAACAAAAAAACCATTGTACTACATACTCATACGTGCTGTTTGTCGTACTCGTGTTTGTCTAACAGGCACAGTAGTATCAGCAACCTATATATAAAAAGATTATTTATAAGAAAAAAATTTCCTGAAGCATACCAAACGTAATGACAAAGATATTTTAATTCCTTATAAGAAGCTTTTTTTTCACATGATTTGAGTGTAAAATACACTGTAGTTCGGTGGTATTTGATCATTCTTCATCTTATAAAATCTGTTTATAATATTAGATAACATTTCGTCTTCGATGTATATATATTTTTTTTTTGTTTTCTCGTCTGTGCATATTCAAGGAAATATAAAAACTGGTAGAACAAAAAAAAAACTACGCAAAATAATTTCATCAAATTTTTATTTTAGTGTGTTTTTTTTGGTTATTCGACTGAATCAAGCAAAATTTAATCGATTAAAATGATACATCGTACTGTAAGCAAATACATGAATATAGCATGCGATAAATAGATTCAACGAATACAATATGAATATGAATAATCAGAACAATTATTTCTAATATTTAATACAACAAAAACTTGATCTGTTTCTGTAGTATACTGTAATAGGTATAAACGATGAGCCATTAAAAGAAATCAGAAAAAAACAAGATGAAACATCATCATATATCATAACAAACAGATCTTATCGAAAGTTTATTAGTTGAAGAATGATGAAATATTGATTTTTTACTATTAAATCCTATAGTAAGTTTTTTTTTTGTAATGACAACTTAAAATACATCTGATCCTACTTTTATTATGTCCTAAATAAATTTAATCAAACCTCAGTATCAGTTTCAGTTGTATTTAATGTATCATCAAAAAGTATATCTTGAAGTTCTTCAAGATCACTATTTTCATATAACACTTCATCAGCTGATAATTGATCAACTTCACATAATGGACACATCCATTCAGGTGTTTCAGGAACACCAGGTAATTCCAAACAGAATGTATGATAACTAAAAAGAAAATTTTTTTTTTATATTGAAATAGAATTCTTTTTGTTTTTTCTAGATCTTACCCATTCCCACATTCATCACATATTAATAAAAGATCTTCTTGATCATCTCGACCACAAACACGACATGTTATATCATCATCAATCATTTCAAGAAAATCATCTTCTAATTGAACTTCTATACGATTATCCTTGACTTTCATCTAGATTAAAATTAAATTTTCATTTTAGAAAACATAATTTGATTTTAACATACAGTATCATATGGTTTTGAACTGATAAATGAATGTTTTTTGAAAATACGCCGAAAAGCTATACGATCAATTGGACATGAATTATTTTTCTATGGAAAAAAAAAATAAAAACAAGAAAATTGTATTCATAGAAATACTTGTTTTTTTTTTCTTCTTCTTCTTACTTTAGCCCATTCAATAATACATGCCAAACAAAATGAATGTTCACAATTTTCTGGCATACCAACTTCTTGTGCAGCAAAATTTTCCATACATATAGCACATTGTTCTGTTGATGTAGTAATATTAAGTGTATTTGACATCGATTGATCAGTTGGCATGGATTCTGTTGGTTCAGATTCCTTGTTTTTCTTATCTTGCTCACGCTGTCGAGAACGTGTTGTCTTTAAAATAAAAATGAAATGTTAAAATAAATTTACACGTATTTATATATACTTACTACACCAATACTTATATCCTGAAAAAACAAAATAGAATTTATTTTTGAACGTAAAAAAAGAAATATCTAATTGGATTTCATACATCATTTCGACGAAGATATTTTCTTGGTTGTTCATTTGTTGCTGTTACATCGATATTAGACAATTCGTCAGCAGACGTTGACTCAGACATATTCAAAAAGAAGAACTTTTTTTTTTTTTATGATATATTGTTATCTTTTTCTGATGGAAATATTCTATGGAATTAAATTAACATTGAGAAATAAAATTAATGAGTCATATTTATCAAGAAAACAGTTCTTTGAGAAATTTCTCGTATAAATTGTTTACTTGTTTATTTATTTGGTTGTCTTGTCATTGTTTAAGTTAACTATTCAATCATATATGTTCGTGTCCTTCGATACACATATATTATAGATGTCATTTATCAAGTCTGTATGAGATCGACATCTGGACAATGATTGTGTGATGCGAGACATTGCATTTACATTCTTCATAATATAATTAAAAAAAAAAAAGAATGTTTAGAATTTTTTGATAACGATAAATTGTAAATAGAGTAAATTCTTCGTGTTTTAGATAAGTATGATTTTCTGAGAATTTTTTCAGAATTACAAAAAAAAAGCTTAGAGTCGATTATTAGTAGGAATATGTGTGACCAAATTTTTTCGTTCTCATCTATAGAAAACTATTTTAGATTGATTCGTATCATGTCTGAAAAATCTTTCAATACTTGTTATTTAATCTATTTAGTCGAAGATAGAGCCTATCATGGATTCAGCTATATTTTTCGCTAATAATTCAGTTTTAGCATATAATTTTTCTTTTGAGGAGTAGGTTTAGTTCTCTGATATTTACCGTACAAACTGATGCATTACGGATAGTCTATTGACATCTCATCAATGACTATGAATATGAATGAAAGTCGAAGTTGACTTTGCTTCGTGCTTGAATATCTCTATAAGACACTGTTGGAATCTCCAAAATGCATCTATCTCTACTGTGAATATCAGGGAACAAAATCTACTACTCGAAAAAAATTTGTATGTTACAGCAAAATTTTTGGCAAAAAAAATTAATTGACTCCATATAGGACTTCAGTTGATGATTCTTACTTTTTTTGGGTCTTATCTTGATGTATGTTTTGATTAACATGATGTAGAAGACAATTAGCTTAAAAATCAGAAAGTATTTAATTATAATCTTTAACTTTGCTTGGGACAACCTTTTTTTCTTATAGTCCTGAGCTGTATCTCGACAAACCTTGAAATTTTGATTCCTCATATTCCTAATATCAAACTAGGAATATTTTCTATTTAATAAATTTATTTAGATATTTATGATGCAATTGAATAAAGAACAAAGGTTAGTAGTATCTCTCAATTGTTTGTGGCTTCGTACCTAGTTCGCTGACAAATGCTTAGGATTATTGTTCAAATAAATTCCCTGTTGAACCATTTAGTAGCATTATTCTGTGCATTGTATATTATTGTTAAAACATATTCTTTCATAGTAGAAAACGAACTGATCGTTTTGAAAAACAAATCAAACCGGTCTACAGACATGTAAGTCTAATAGAAGAATGTAGAAACGTATCATAAAACAGTCAAATACAGTCGTCCGAAATGACTGTTCTGCCATAGATCTATTGCGTAGTAATTTTTTCTGACATTTATGATTCTTTTTGTCGATAAGAAAGAAAAAGCAAAACTATTATTTTCTCGTTAATTTAGTTTTAAGATTTATCAGAAAACATAACGATCTCCTTGAAAGCAAATTAAAAAAAGTCAAATTCGAATTTGTAAATTTCGTTTGTTTAATGATGTTTATTTTTTGGATTATCTGGTGATGCAGCCCATTGTTCTGCAGCCTTCTTAAATGCATCTTTATGTGCTATACCAGGATGATCGTGCTTGATTCTAATTAAAAAAAAAATTAACAAACAATATAATTAATAAAATTTTTATGAATTTACTTTGGTACAGTCGTTTTCATATAAAGATTAAATTTACTGGGTGATTTTCCTTGTTGTTTATGTCCTTTTTTATGACCTTGTTTTTTTACTGATGATGATGATGATGATGGTGAAACTGATCTTTTTGAAACTTGAGATTTTGCTTGTTTAGTTCCATGTTTTGGACCAGCTTTTTTTCCTTTAGGTGATTTTGATTTATTTCCAGTTGTTGGTTTGGTTTTTTTTATTGATTGTTGTTCTCGTCGCTTGGCCATCTTTTATTAATTAATAAATAAAAAGATAATTTCAGCAATTAAATTGGTGATATCGCTGTTTTTATAGAAGTACAGATAAATAAATTAGAAAAATGAGTGTTATGTATGTGATAAAATATAATAATTAAATCGATGACTACAAAGAAGCGCGAAATGTAAATCTTCGATAGGCGCTTGATTGAATTGAAAAACACATTATTAAATAAAAGATTTTAAAAAAAACATAGGTGCAAGATAGTATTTTTTTTTTCTATGATAGACTAAAAGGAAAGTAACTGTTTGATCGATCATTATTATTAATTTTCATTAGAAAACAAAATTGAAGTATAAGTTTATATAAAAAGTCTTAGATACTATGGATAGAATATGATTCAAGAGGAAAAGTGCAGCTTAGGAGCCTCGAGTAGTTTAGAATATTTTGGTACTGAAACTTAGTAATCGTACTCATACAGTTTTGGAAAATATGATAAAAATTACACTATTCTAAATCGTTTTTTTTGTTTAATACGAAACTATTATTAGAAATTTTTATGAAATTAGATCAAGAGTTTTCGAAGCCAAAGAAATACAACCTATAGATATTTAGTCGAAACTCTAGAGTTTTTTTTTCTCGATCAAAGAGAGTCTATTGCTCACGATTCATTCAAGTTTCATACAATTCATCTATTGTTGTAAAGTATGAATAGTCTTCATTGAAAACTCCGACAAGACATTGTTTTATTTGCTTTCCAATGTTTTGACTAAGTTCAGAATAAAATACTTGAATTTAAATTCATTTCGAAATAAAACTTAATATATGAACATATCAGATATTATTTTTTAATAAGCAATTAACGTTTCAAACTTTATTGAACAGAAAATGATAAAATATGTACCAAGAGTAATTATTTTATTGATTGATTCAGTCATGAATATTGTCAATCTATTTTCAAAAAATTTGTTTCATAGTGAATTATCTGATCATTTCGATATATAAAATAGCTTGTGTCAGTTCAGTGAGAGTCTTTTATCGACAAATTATATCCTTTTATTTTTTAAAATATATTCATATTTTTTGTTTTGATTGACGAACATAGTTTGTAGATTGTTTTTACTTTTCTTGATGTTTATCATTAAGTAATCTGATCGATAATCGACGACTCCTTTTATGATTAAACAGTGATGAATAGATATATTGAAATAATATAATGCCTTCCACAATAGTTCCAGAAGAGTCACTGAAAAAATAATCTTATCAATAGAATATTAGCCTATCTAATATGCTAACAGTAAGATCAAAACCATCAGATCTTCTGCTCTTCACACATATTTTTTATGGTTATTTTATTGACTCTGTAGTTAAAAAAAAAAGTGAGGTCGAACTATATGAAAAGTCTGAATTAGTTTTTTCTTTGATCATAATATTAAATGGGCAAAAATAGTTGATATCTCATGATATTGGAGTAATCAATAAAAAAGAAGGAATGAATACATAAAAAAAAGTAATTTTGAAATAATACATATGCTTTTTAACACATATTAGAAAATAATTATTAATCAATAGTAGATCTCTTCATTAATCGATATTATTTGAAGATTAAAAATATTTTATTTAAAAGAATTTTAAGTCTTTCCATTTTTCTCAAATTATCAGTTTTTTTTAAGGTGGTCGATACTACAAAACATATTTTTAAAAGTTACCAAAATTTAATCAACCATTAGAATTTTGAATATGCATAGAATTTGATACAGTACGAAAGATGCACGAATCTAATGCACTTTCACGAGGCATTTTCACTAGATTATATAAGAAGTAATTCAATCAGTTCAATAAAAACTTTTCATTCTATTCTTATCTTTAGTAAGTACTTGATACGTATTTTTTGTGTGATAGGTCATATATATAAATAGTTATCGATTGATTAAAGGTTTTGTTTATTTGAAATTAATATTTTTTTAAATGATCAACTTATTATTAAGATCATTGATCAATTGATCATAAACTAGACGAACTCAGCATTATTGTTTTTTTAAATTTATCTACAACGATGTGGTGTGCATCCCTAATTCTAGAAAGTATTCATTTTTTCTCAGCAAAAAATTGATTTTTTTTTATCGAAAAAGAATAATCATCCAATGAGAAAAACAATATCAGCGTGATCCATTCTTAAAATATTGTGTGTGCACTACTTGATCCATTTGAAAACTTTTTCTAGCGCCTTCAACCCGCTTTTTCTTCTTTGTCACATATCGGCTTATCTATTACTAGTCACGAGTTCGGTATGAATCGAATAAGAGTAATACTTTACACGTAAAACAAGCATTTTTTCACAAGACATTGATTAATGATAAATTCTTGTTTCAGTAACTGAGGTTGACATATGAAATATGCTATTTATCTTGGACACACAAAGTCATCATAGTACTAAATATTTATTATTGTAAGTGAATAAAATGAAAGTGTCTGATATTATTGCTATTATATACAACAATTAGCTATTCTGATTTCCAATAAGTTGTTGGTATTAAAATGAAAACAACCTAATTGATATAGTTTATCAACTTTCATGATAATCGCATCTGAGTACACGTACGTAACATTGTTTGTCATGTTCTTTTGAATTTGTTCCAAGTAAATAAAAAACAAAATACGTTGAACATATAGATATTTTAATCATGCTAGATCAATATGTTGTGTATAGATTATGTATACATTTTTATCGAATAAGTAAATTATTATATTCGTTTTTTTGAACTCTGCTGTAACAAATTAATATGAAGATAAGAATATTTTTTATTATGAAAACAAAAAAAAAAGAATAATCAATTAATAATCATTTTCTTTTGTTGATAAAACACTAACATAAATAAATCATGATGAATTATTAGGAAAAAGATGTGCAGCTAAATGATTAAAAATAAAATAAGGTATTGTATGAGCAATTAATAATGGAAAAATTGATATATAAACAAATATATAACCAATTGGTGATATATTTGTTTGATAAACAAATCTCAGAATAAATATAATAAAATTTGGTAAATTACAAGCAAGAAAAATAGCTGATAATATTATAACACATACAGTTATTTGTAAATCAACATTATCTTGTTGTTCTTTTTCGAAAGATTCATTAAAATTTTTTTGTTCAATAGTTATTGCAATTGAAGCATCTATATCATCTATTAAATAATATAAATTATTACAAAAAAAAAAAATTTTCTATTAAATTTTTAACTCATTCTACCTGCACTATGAATTAATTGAACTTGATCATTATCAAATCCAATTGAATCAATATCATTTAAAAAAATTTTACCCAATTTTTCTTGTTGTTCTTTTTGTTGTTTTTGTTTTTGTAATTGTAAACGTTTTACTCGGTCGCAATAAATACTAACTGTTAAATTTATTATTGATATAAATATCATTGTCCATGTTATCGATGTATATACTAATGAATAATAGACATCAAAATCATAATCCCATATACCAAAATATTTTTTATAACATAAACCATCTCGATGCTGTAAACGTATTAAATGATGAATATTAATAAATATAAAAAAAATTACTGTTATTATACAAATAGTTAATGAAAAACGTTGACGAAGATGATAACCACATGTTATTCGTAACATACGATCAAGACATAATAACATAAGTAATATTGATATTAAATCATCAGATAAATAGTGTGCATATGTTATTAATTTACATGTTAGTACATTTTGATGAATTAAATCAATATTAAATGTAAGACAAAATATAATTGGAACTGATATAAACATATATGTAATATCGAATGCAGCTTTGAATGTTATATACCATTTTGCCGATGATTCTTTATGGAATCGACGTGTTCGAAATAATTCTATCAATTTATAATTTGCCCATGGACATAAAAATGTAATGGATATACATGCCAAACGTAAAATCCATTTCGATAAAAAAATTACAAAAGGATTTGCTCGTCCAGGTATTTCAGGATCATCTGTATATGATGGATCATTAATCTTTGTTACATTATCTAAATATTCTTCAATCCAAGAAGCAGTTGACGTTGTCATTCTTCATATGCATATGTATTCTTATTCTTACTATCAATAATATACATGAGTTTTAACTGATAAGAATAAAACATATCAAATAACGGAAAAGAAATAAACATTTGTAATATGATCGTTTTTGTTTTAAATAGAATTGTTTTATTTAATATTATACAATGATACAATCACCGGGGCACGGGAGAGAGTAGTATAGAAAACAAAAAAAAACAAACAAATTATAAACTAAATGATGGATATGATACAGGAAAGTATAATTCTTGATCAGCTATTTCACATTGTGATGATGGTGGTGGTGATGGTTGAAAATGTTCAACATGTGAATAAGATGTTGGAATAGAATATTGACTGTAGAATGGTTGTTGATAACAATTTGTCATATTATATGGTGGTGGTGGTACTGGAGGTCGATGTGAATTATTATTATTATTATTATTATTATTAAAAGTTTGTGTTGCTTGAGGATAATGATGAATAAAATTAGTTTTCTTTTTTACAATAGTTTTTTTTCGTATTGTTTCTTTTTTTGGGTTTGTTGATTCAAGATCTATAAAGACAATAAGATGATGAAAATAAAATTAATTGAAATAAAAAAATAACTTACGACAATTAGGTGGACATTCATTTTTTAACCATTGTATAAAATGTCTTTCAGCATCTGATTTCGGTTTAATATTATTTAATACTTCATCACTATCAGGTCCAAAACGAAATGGTCCGGCACCGATTTGTTTCATAGCGACAGATTTTGGTGTATAACCATCTTCATTTGCTATTTGACTTTTTGCACCACGACATATCAAAACTTCCCATGTTGCAAATGATAAATTATATGCTGCTTTAAATAATGGTGTTTCGAGCTGAATAAATTTATAATAATCAAATATTAAAATAAAAAAATAAAAGCTTCGACAAAAACCCAAATACATACATGTTCATCTTGTGCCTCAATATTA